ACCGCGGACCTCTCTTCCCCACACTGAGACCCCGCCCTGACACCTGAGACCCCACCCCCGTGACCGCAGACCTCTCTTCCCCACACTGAGACTCCTCCCTGACACCTGAGACCCCACTCTCGTGACCATGGGCGGGGAGGGTGGGGGGGATGCAGGGTCAGCAGTGGTAAAGACACCCGGCCTCCGTGGGGTGGGGGTTGGAGCTGGGCGTTTTAACCACTGTGCTTGGCTTCCGTCCCCACGGTCAGCATGGAGGCCGTGTGGCCATCTCTGACCGTGGGCCCTGCTTGCCTCGTCAGGAGTGGGAACTGAAGAATGGGACCTAAGGGCCGCGGGGCAGCAGGCGGTGTCTGGCTCTGCACCACGTCCGACGCCCTCCGCCAGCACCGCCTGCCCGGCCGCCCGCCCACCCCCTGCGAGACCCTTCCCAGGAGCAACGGGGCAGGCGATTACTCTGAAGCCAGCATGGGCCTACACGCCCATTCCCTCTCTACTGCCAAACAGCACCTAGTGCCCCTCAGTTTCCAAGTCCACGCGACACGGGGTGCTCGGAGCACGGCCCAGAGCAGGCCCGCCTGTCAGCGGGACATGTGAACAGGGAGGGCATCTTGGGCCCTGGCTGCTGCTCCGCTGCGACTGGCCGGGCACCTGAGCAGCGGCTGGTGGCCGGACAGTGGGCCAGCGTCCCTCCACCCCACCCCCACCCCAGTCACAAAAAGCCATGAGCAGACTGCTCTTGCCCGTTTTATACCTTTTCTTCTGCTTTTTAAAATATTTTTAAATTTAAAAAAAGTTTTGACAAACGCTTTCTGTCACAGGACATGAGAAGCTGCCACTCTGGTTACTGTGTTGTTAAAATGCCCTTTTCCACGTAGACCTCTGCCCGGGATGCCTTTGAATCTGGCCCCGGCCCCACTGTGCAACGGCCAGTTGGTGGTGGCAGCCCTGGAGAAGCCTGAGCCTTCTCCCTTCCAGCCCCAGCGGCACCACGGCCCAGGAAGGGGGGGAGGGGTGCTGGGTACTAATTTCCGGCCCCCAGGCTCTCCCAGCAGGCTGGCCCCCAATAGCTCCTCCCTTCCTGGGCACGAGGGACCCTCTGGGACCCCACGGCTCACCCACGATGTCCTCTCATGGACATGGGGGACCTGGTAGAACCCCACAGCTGGCCCCCCGACATCTCTTCCCCTCCTGTGCATGAGGGACCCATTAGGACCCCATGCTGGTCCCCGATGCCCTCTCCTGGACATGGGGACCTGGTCAGACTCCTGGCTGATCCCCAATGTCCTCTCCTGGACATGGGGTACATGGTAGGATCCCACAGCTGGTGTCTCGCCCTTTTGAAGGGTGGCAGGAGGACGAAGCCAGGCTTGTTAGGGACCAGCCTGGGGTCAGCGGTGGGACGAGACCCTTTGTGATGGAGTCCTAGACTGCGTGACCACATGTGTCCACGGCACTCCCCACCCGAGCAATAGCAGTGCTGTGTGGGCGTGGCCTCTGTGCCTCATCACAGTGTCCCTACCTAACACATACCTGTGTGCTGGCACCCCGTGGAGCCCCACGCCCCTCCCCCCTCCCCACCCCAGGTCCCCTCAAACACTCCACCCCACAAAGTTTCGGGGTGTTTCTGACGATACAGGGACAGCCTGCCCCCGTCTCCAGACCCCAGACTTAGAAGCTCCTGAGCCCGCCGGATCTCAAGGTCAGCTCTGGTGTGGGGGCTGCAGGCGTCAGGAGGAAGCTGGGAAACACTAGGGCGGGCTGGGGGCCCTGCCCGCCTCGCCTGAGCCCATGGTCTCCTGGGAAGAGGGGTCTGTTGAGAAAGCAGAGGGTCCACCCCCAGCAGGTCCCCTAGAGGGGAAGAGAGGCCCCTGAGTCACTTGGGGGTTCAGCCAGCTGCTTAGATGAAGCCAGCTGGCCACCGGCCTTGCTGTCCCCGTGCGTGCCCGGCTGCTTCTGTGGGGAAGTGTCTCGCACCTCCTTGAGCCGCTGGCCTGGGGAGAACCAGCGCTAGACGGCGGAGCCGAGCCTGAAACAGCTGTCACCAGCACCGGCCCACGCGGAGCCCTGGTCCTCACCCGGCGCCTGGCCCAGTCTGGGTTTCCAACCCAAACCAGGTTTGAGTCTCCAGTTTCTAAGCCTCCACCTTTGGGAGAGGGCAAGGCACTGCTGGGACCCCTCAGGCCCTGCCCACCCCGATTCCTTCAGATTTGATCAGAAACAATGTTTGAAGCGTTGGCTACAAATGGTTATTTATTTGTATATGCTCAAGAAAGAGTTTTTAATTTATATTTGTACATATTAGACACACGTAGGCACCTTGACTGAGCTCGCTTCACCCTGTCCCCTGAGACCTGTGCCACAGGAGGCGGCCCCTCCTGCCTCGGGGGACGCTGAGAGGACACAGGGATCGGGCTGTGGGCAGTGAGGTAGCCCACAGCCTGTGTGCAGGGCACGTGGCTGGGACAGGGGTGGCCACCTTCCTATCTCTGTTACATGGTTCCAGTCACTGGTGTGCCCCGCAGTCTCGTAGGGCCCAGTCCAGACAGGTGGGCCATCCAGGTGTCCTCATGACCCCCCAGGCCAGCTCCCGGCTGCACCGTGCTACGGTGCCCTACGCCTGCCAGAGCCCTCCATCCATGCATGTCCCTCCAGTTCCACGGCGCGCTCAGCCTTCTGCACAGACACCAGGGGCTGGCTGACCATGCTGCTTTGGTCACTGGAAGTGGCCGCCACACTGGCTACCTCTCTCCGGACTCTGAGAGGCTCCAGTGGGGACGGGGCCTCAGTGTCACCCCAGCATGTCACCTCCTTCTTGTCAGACAATGTGGTCCTTTGACAGAAGAGGCCTGGTGCCCAGACAGCCTCCAGGGGGAGACGGCCTCTCCCCCCTCCATCCGCC